AATAATAGTTATATATATATATATATATATATATATAAACACTTAGTACATTACATGTCAGACTTTTTTTTAAATAGCACAATCATGGGAATTTGCAGAAATGTTTCTGGGGGTGGGTCAAAGTCAAAATCAAGGAAACATGGACCCACCTTCAAAGTTTTGCCATTACAGTCAAGAGAATAGGCAAGCTCCCACAGTCAGATCTGATAGGTTTAATATTTGTCAGCAAGACTGCATCAGTCTCTTTGATAACCTATTGACAGTATTACTGGTAGGTGGCGACAGGATGACCCCAATCACACTGTGTCAGGGTTAAGGGTATATTGGAAAGACCACATCAGTCTCTTTGATGACCTGAGTAAGAATTGCGATTTCCAATATTCAAGAAGCCACCATGGTAGCAATGTGTTTCAATATTTAGCTACAGGGCAGGTATCTAGAGATGTTAGAATTTTATTATAATTGAAAATTAAATGTACAAAGTAATGTGGAATTGTGAAGTGAATAAAAAACTTGTAAATTCATATACATATGCTGAATGAATAATGAAAGAATTATGTTTCTCACTTTCTGGGGGGATGCGGCAAATGTCCCCCTGCAGACACCCATAAGCACAATGTTAAATATATATTTTTATTCTGCTTTGCATAGAAGCTGAAAAACATCAACTGCATATACTTTACAAAAGTTATTTGCTCCATCTTGAAGTTTGCACTGCCTATAAACAATACAAGTGCTATGCAGCTAGATAAGATTTAAAAGACATAACTGTTTAAGATTGATCATGGCATGTATTATACACACATGCAAAATTCTTTACTAAGACCTTGTAGTTAAAAGACCATGTATTCCATCACTGAACCACTGCCCTTTTCAACAACTCTGAGGATTGTTAAGAAGGCACTTCTGGAGACAGTCATTGGTAAACAGGTTCAATCCAGTCAGAACTGAAATAGACACCACCAGATTTCAGATGCCCTCAATATCCACAAATATCCACTGGGTTCAGTGGAAATTAACCTAGATAGAAATTTAAAGATTGAGCAGAGGATGAAACAGAAGAAGCCTGTCAGCACTTATTTAACTCCTCGCATACAAGCATCCTTTTCTGTGCATGTCATGAGGTTTTACTGAATTACATTGCAAATTTAATTAAACTACTTTATTATAATGGTATTCCAATAAATATAGCATAAAAATACAGCTAATAATCCAAATTTTAATACAAGTAATTATGTTCTTACTTTTATAAGACAATATTTAAAAAAAATCTCACTTTCCACTGGTATGAGAATTGTGACATTTGCTCTATAGATCTTCTCTCTTCTCTAATTTCTTTACCACGTCTCTGGGAAGTGCAGAATTGAACATAAATTACTTATTATAATGTTGTTACTGCTCAGGCAAAGCATAATCTTTATAGCCTTCAATTTTGTTTGGTTAAAGAGCCGTAAACTAGAAAATCAGACCCCTCCTCCCATGCCCACATGTCAGATCCTCTCTTTCACAAATTGCCAATAGTTCTCTCTGACATTTAATACTATATTATTTACAACCAATAGAAAGCCAAAGTTTTAATCTATCAAATGACATATTATATTACATTGGTTTCTGTACAGAGAATTGACCATTTCTCTTCCAGATCAAACATATCGACAAGCTTAGCTGAATTTTTAATAGTTCTTATCACAAGCTAGAAAGTCAGAAATATTATAATAGTAATAAAACATTGCTTGCATTTTACATGTCATTATTCTGTTTTCCTTGGTGTATTATTTAATTAAATGAAAATTATTTAGAGCAGTAGTACCATTAGTATAAGAAAGTAGGGTTAAGTTTCATCGACAATTGACATGAAAAAAAAAAGACCCAGGAAAGTACTATATTTTTTGTGTATATTCTTTATTTATTATTATAAAAAAGTAACTAAAATGTAAAAATTTTAAACTTTGGCTATATAAGGTTATATCAGGTAAAATAAATAAAAAACTAAATTAAATTTTCACAAGGTATGCTCATAAGCAACTCATGAGTAGCCCGTGCATTAAGTAATTCGATAGGGTAATATAAGCTACACACTAGCCAAATGATTTATGACATGTATGGTGGGATTATTAGTTACACACAGTTCAAAGGGCAATAAAACAATAAAATTTATGTAGAAACAAGTGTATACTGTTACAAGTTTTAACATATTTATGGTAAACAAATGTAATTTCATGTTACAATTTCAAGATATAAAAAAAAGGGTAATTATGATTTATTTCATATTTTTTATGGTGGTTATGAGGTCAGTGAAGTAGAGAAAATGACAGATAAAATATGATATTTTACTGAAAAAAAAATGTTTGAAATTTATTTGGTAAGTTTTAGAGATTACACAAATGAAATTTGACAATTTTCAGATGAAGAAAAGTATTTTCAATCTTAATATGAAAATCACTTTGCGCAAAGAGCAGTCAACACTTTGACTCCATATATTCATAGAGAAATTTTTAGTGAAAATATTTCATTAGAAATTCTGATTTTATTCTGCAAACAACTCTTAATGCTTTCTCAAAGCTTGCAAAATTTCATCAAGGTACACAAAACACATTAGAATTTATAGTATGGAAACTATAAAGATCAATTTGGATCACAAACTTGGCTAATTTGACCGAGCCAGTAGCAAAAATGTTAACTAACAACTGGACAGTCTCTTTTCATCATAGCCACTAATGTTTTTTGCACTACAGAAAAAGAAAGAACTAGTTGGGCATTGATTGTCTTGTGGATCAACATCATTTTGCATAATGCTGGTGAAACATTCAAGCTTACAACAGCAGTGCAAGGCTGAAAATGAAAGCCATAAAGTAAGCTCTCCTATGTATTGCTGAAGGCAATGAACTGCAAATACACATTACCACCAACACAATATTTGCATCTGACTTACATGAGGTACTGGGTAAAATTCAGAGTAGTTGATTTCCAGATGGATGGTAGAAAGCAAAGTAATTGCATAATAAGACTATTACCTGGAGGTATGAGCAAAGTCATACAGGAGTAAAGCTAAATGAGGAAACTGATGAGCTGGCAAGAGAAGCCCCTATATCAAATCAAGCACACTCTACTGGTAGGATACTGATATTCTATGTCTAAATAATAAGATGAAAATGCCAATCATGGAGGGTTTTTCTTTGACATTTAAAGGAAATGAGACTGCTGAAAACAAAGTACTATATTATGTAGTTAGGAAAAGTAAAATACGAGGAATTAATGGGAGAGTATACAGCTAGAAGGTCACTGGTTACATTATTAAAATAATTCTCTTCTGCCTCCTGTAAAGCAGCTGGTTTAAGGGATCAAGTTTGTTGGCCACACCCCAGGGATAATCAGATAGTACTCAAGTCAACCCAATCTTAGTTTTAAGCTATTCAACTCCCCAATTCATAAAACAACAAAATAAATGATATTATATACATTCTACTTAACCCTATCAAAACAATATATGAAGAGTGCTAGTAGGTTATTTAAGTCTCATGAAATTTATTTCCAAAAACTAAACTAGTAGAAGAAATTGTTTGAAAATTGACAAGAATTTTCTTAAAAGTATGTTGTTTCAGAAAAAATAAAATATTCAATGTTTATTTTTTCTGCTATTTCTACTAAACTTTTTTATTTAATGTAGTTATATGTGCCCAGTCTCTGAATAGTTGAGCTGTAAGGTGATTTTCATGCTAAGTTTCAAAATTCTATTTTTTTTTTTAGTTTTAACATTTCACTTGCATAATCTCTAGAACCTCCTAAATGAATATCAACAGTTTTTTTAAGGTAAGTGTTTATATTTTATTTGCCATTTTCTCTACAACATCCCCAACTCTGACTATTGTCATCAACATACAGTGCAATAAAATATTTAAAATTAAGAAAATAAAATACATACACACCTTTTATCTCGATGTTGAATAATCTTACAACATTTTCTTTGGGTCATGTGCATAATTTCACTTATAGTTTATTTTTAATGTTTTATTTTCCTTTCATGTTCTTTATCTTTAATTATTTATGTTGAAACATATCAACAGGCGATATAAAGTTAACATTGGCAGAGATGGTTTAGTTGCTCTTGCTAACTTTATGAAAGCTGGTTGAGCAGGGAAAAGTATAGAATAAATTTTAAAAATCATTAATCCTTTCAAATATGAATTTTAAAACACAAATAATACATAATTAATTAAAATATAAAAGTAAATCCAAAATGCAATTTAGCTGTCTGTCAAACTAATATGTATAAGGTGAGAAAAAACAGTCAATCACTAGGAACAATGTACTCAGGAATTATACACCTACTTAGTTAATGCTTACATCACAGTAGGTAGAAGATAATTTTCAGGACAGATTCTGCAAAATCTGCTCTTTCTATTGGTTATAAGCATACTATTCAAGTTAAAATGTTTGTTAGTAACACATCTTCTACTTTGTTAGTGAGTGTGGCTTATCCTGAACTGAGGAATTTTTACAACAGTTTCATCTGGGACAAGTTCTTGGAATCTACTCAAATTAATGGTAAACAACCCAAATAATGTGTACTTTGAATATCTAGAGTAAATGTCTACATTACACACAGTTTTTTCTATATCAAGTCTTAAAGTTGATTTTGTAACCATGAGGGCATCACAAGACAACAAAAACTGCAGTTTTAATTATTGTTTTAGGGGGTTTCTTTTGAAATGAATGAATAAAAACTTAGATAATACAAAACTTTGAATTACAATGTCATTGCTAGTAAACATTTCATTAAAATACATTGATAGTAAAGTGGTTTAATTAAATTTTGAATGTAATGCAAAAGCATGTGCAGGAAGGGTTTTAAAAATGGCATCATCCTGATAGGGTTAAGGCTCATTTATTATCATTATGAATATCCACTACTACATACCTCAGTACATGAAAAAGACAATGGATCTTCATCCCAAGCAAAGAACTCAGTATCTAAAAATTCATCTTCATTCTGCTCATCCATATTTACCTCTTCTTCTTCTGGGAGATATTCTTCAGCATTAATTAATGTCTGGATGACTTCAATATTTCCAAGTTGTACTGCCCTTCCCAGAATTGTTCTTCCAGAATGTACTAAGTTATTTACATTAGCACCTGTAAATATACTTTGTTATTTATTGTTAGCTCATTTTCATCACTACATAACAGAAAACCATTACAGTAATGAATTAGAATTTTTCAAACCATTAAATAACCAAGTATACATGTAAATTAATACTGAAATGAGATTTTTAAACTTATACACAGTCTACAACATTAACATGCTCTCAGCATTCATTAGCTATTTTCCCTTCATTCTCAAAACATTTGCAAGTAATGATAATTAATTAATTCCAATTTGCACTCTTCTCTATACACATGCACAAATACATCTACAGAGATAAATAAATACAAAAATCATGCTTTTCTGTTTTAAAACACTGCAAATGTAAAATTGATCAGGTTATAAAAGAAGAGTTTGAAATTATCTCAAGGTATTCTAATTCTAACAAACTTTTGTAAATTTTTATGAACATACAGAATAATGATATTAAACTTAACAATTACAAGTAGTAAAATGACTAAGGTATATGGAGCATCAAAATATGTACCTTGTCTTAACAACTGTTTCAATCCCTCCAGATCTTGTCTGTTTACTGCCTCATAAAGATCTTCTTCTAAAATATTCATACTTCCACTACAAATAGAAACCAATATTTAATTAAAAAGGAAAGAAGATTTTATATTCTAATGACATTTTTAACAATTTACATTTAGTTGTAATTTTGTCCTAAGAACTTTTACATTACACTGAATATTCAAAATGTTGCAATTTCACTGAGAAACCCAATCACTGTTTAAACTTAAATAATCATATAGCATAGAAAAGCAACATATCCCTATTATAATCTTAAATTTCGCCCTTACCATAAAACAATTTTTGGACAAACACAACTGCAAAAATCGCACTGCTTGAAGTAAATATATATATATATCTGTTGTACAAAGCATCTATATAAATATAATAGTACTGTCTGTTGTATGTTAATGTAACTACTTTGCAGGGTGTGGATGGATCTTCACCAAAATTGGTATGGAGTTTCATTAGGTCCATGCAGGGGTACATACAGATTTTCAGTTTTTCATTTTGCAGTTTTTATGGACATTTTTGTATTTTTTTTTTTACCACAACCTCACCTCTTGTGGATAGAACTTCACCAAATTTGGTGTGGAGATTCATTTTCAAATTTTCAGTTTTTGTATTTTGCAGTTTTTATGGGTGTTTTTGAATTTTTTACAATTACATATAAGGAAGTAACTTTTTATGTCCTAAGATAACCTTTATTAATCTTGAATGTAAATAACTTCTATCCAGGGGATGAACTACAGCTAGTTTATTAATAATAGTGTACAATACTACAGAACATTTAAACCCAATTTATCAGATGTATCAACATGCACATATGGAACATCACTGATTTTCCAATTAAGAACAGTTAGGCCAATAACTTCTATTATAATCGAAAAAATTTTGTTATTTTCACATAAGACATTGGTTAAAACATGTTTTATATATATGTAACTTACTTCTGAAATTAAAAAACATTATACATTCACAATGATATTACATTGTTCTTGTTTATTGACTTGTCAATGGTTTGTTGTTTTTTCTGTTCAACCATAAGACTGATCATGATTTTGTATAATCAATTAAGTGTCACATTATCTCAGAAATGGTATTTGAATGAAAAAGTTCATGTTTACTTTGCAAGTGTCTGATAAAATGAAGAACCAAATTTGCTAATATTAATTTATATTGACCAATCAGCAATAATGATTCAAAGCATTTCCCATGTATGTGTATGTATGTGAAAATTAAAACAACAAAGGCTAAACAAGCCTTCAATTACTCCTGCAAAAAAATTTATTTAAGACTGATAACACTTTGAATTTTATAAAGTAAACAATGGATTCATGTCACAGCTAATTTTAGACATGAAGAGAAACGTGCCAAAAGGAACCAAAAAAGAGAATATATTTATAATATTTTGGAACACGTGACATTTGTTTGCTGCCTAGTTTAGTTATTTTTAATATGTCAAAAAATTTTGATAAAGAATACTATCAACTGAAATATATAAAAAATATTATAAAAAAATGAAAGGTATCAAATTTGGCTTAAAAGTTTAGGTTTTGCAACATGTAGTTTCCTCCACTGCCATAAAATTTCATTGGTAAAATAAATACAATAAACAATTCAATTCATTCTTCTTCTTTTTTTTTTAATAAGTCTAAAATAATGAAATTTAGTGTTTAAAACAATACAACAAACACCTAATTTCTTAATAAACATTTTTATTATATTTGAAAAACTTAATAGGCTAAAATGATTGTTTTAGTTTACTGGTAAAACAGCTAAACTCAACTGAAAACCAATCAATTCCCAGCACAACTATGGAGAAATCCAAATAGAACATGGAAAAGAAACGTATCTACACTCAGTTTAAAGACTTCTGTAGAAAGCAGAAGTCTCACTGACAAATGAAAAGAAAGGCATAACATCTATCAAAAAAGTACTAATCACTGACAATGAAAGTTGAAATAGCAAAGACCAGAACATAAACTGCCACTGCAAAAATAAGTTAACGTAGTAAAGTGCCAAGAAGAAAGCTAAGAAATATGTTTTGTCATAAAGGATATAGACTAGGATTCTATCTACCCATAGTTTAATATACTCTAACCACAGTAGCTTATCCAGAAGTGACTTTCAAGATAAGTGAAAGACACCTATCAAAAATAAACAGATATCAATAAAAAAAAACCAAGAGAACAGTTAATACACTTAGTCAGGGATTATGAATCCTGGACAAGTTACTGTGACACCCAAAAAAAGTGAATTTTTCTGTTTAAAAAGGTGTGCTTTATAATTCATATATAAAGTAATATTTGTAATGTAATTAAACATCACATAAAATTGGTATAACATTTGAATTTCCAATAACTGAAATTTAAACTAACATAATCCTGCAGATGTAGATTTCCAACATTTAACCACCAATCAATAAACCTGCATAACAGTAAATATGCTTTTGATTGCTAAAACACAGCTGAGGTGATTGAAAATGAACATTTTCATGTACTTTACATAATTCTACAGAAAAGATTGCATGATGCATGTCATGATATAAAAGACTGAAAATCAAGATCAAGCAAGCTTTTGCCCTTTTAATATTTTGGTTTAAATATTAGTGATTAATTTATATATTTTATTATTTTTAAGTTTTGATATAATAAGAGTTGAAAGCAGATGACTGTAGATGGTTTTGTTAATAACTAATTGGTGTCGAGAATATAGAAAGTGGCCAGACAACTATGTAATAAAGATATAAGTAGCATGAGCCGAGCGGGAAGCAGCAGACAGACAGTATAGACAAATAGTTGGTGTGAAGTTAAGTAACGTAAAAGTGATAGGCTTAATGAC